CACATTTATTGCAGGTCGGCATCTCACAAACCAGGCAAACATATTTCGTTTGGTCAAAACAAAAACTACARGACTCAAGAGTCTCGTCTCGTGGCAAGGATTTTCTAAACGCGGACATGTTCAGTTTGAGTAGTTTTGAATTTATTTTCGTATCCAGAGCTCCTCGGTCTTGTTCATCACTCGTCTTTGTATAGCGCATGCTCGCCAGGGGGGAATGGGTGTTTGGGAGGTGGGGGAGTGGGTTGTTTTCACGGCTTTGGTGTAAGTCATGCGACTTGCATGATGGATTTGCTATTTTGCATAATTTATYAATTTAGTTCAGCACTTGTTTAAAACGACGTTTGCCGCAAAGTCGCTCCAGAGTCGTAATGTCCGACTTGGCTTGTCGAACTTATGCTGGACTCGAACCTATTCAATGGGGTCGTTCTCAATCGCAGCAAGCGTCGTACTAGGCTTGAGCCTATTTCAAATGTAATAGGTTCGACTAAATTAAGCTCATAGTTAGTTCGACGTTTCGCCCTGGGCCTTAGTATCTTTATCTTTAATTTATTCTTGTTATTATTATCTTCCATAACGTACACAYTCATTACTACATTTGAATAAGCTATACACACGACTCTAATTTCACATGTTTATTTTTATGGGGGAAGAACACTTTTAAATTAGATTATGCCTGCCTGACTGCCGGTCTAAATATGTCCAGCTAATCTCCACTGACAAACTGACAGAGCCTGTGAYTGACAGACCGGCTCCTAACTTATTCCAGTCCCATTCAAACCGTTATTTGGCTATGCAGTCAGACAGGCAGGCACACGCAGAAAAGGCAACAACATAAATGACGAAAGAATAAAGAAAATATTTCCATGAACCCTTTCCRCCAGTCAAAGCAATGTCCGTCACTAGTCAAACCAAACAAGTGAAAAAAATWAACTAAAAGGATTTGAATCCGACGTGTCCTTTTTTTTCCATCAAAAGTTATTACACCGTAATCTTGTCTTATGATGATGTTTACTTGTGTTGTCTTTCTTGCGTGTTTGCATGTAAAAGTTATCTTAATGTTATATTGTTTTTCAGGGGGGAGGGGAGGGAGAGTGGAGTATGGTAGTGTAGGATGTAGTGTAGTTAGCAAAGGCATTTTATGCATATTTATAACTTCCTCTTCTGTTTATCTCTAACTCAAATAAACCATAGATTTGCCTTTTAGCGCAAATTATTCCAAAGGAGAATTCATGGTCAAAATACATAAACAAATCGAGCCTTATCCGGAAACTATTAGACCAAAAGCGCGGGGAGATCAAAGAGGTTGGGCGTCAGTACAATTCAAGGGGAAAAACAATTTAGGTTGAGCTAAATGAGAAACACTTATCTATTTTGGACTTAATGGCTTTAAAAGACTGTTACTTGAAACAATTTGACTCAATCCTTACAACGCACTAACTAATGCCACGATAAAGACATRGAATATTTCGGTTTTACACTTAGGGGATTTTTTACTATGCCTTTGGGCGACTTTTAACCATATTAYACAACTGATAATTCCTTCATAATCTCATATAATCTCCAATAAGATGACTATAAGGAAAAATATCCTGAAAAACGATTGAGAAAAATTGCGTATTTTTACCAGATAATCTATCTAGATCAGTAARCATCATTTTCTCCGAAAACAGAAGACATAATATAGATACTTTACTCAATCAMAGATTCTAAGAGTCTTTTGCTTATTTTTCGTTTCTCTTGATGAATTAGATTAAATAACYATTATTCATAATTTGTTTCGCCAAAATAGGGATTTTTTATCGAAAAAWTAGTGGGTATTGCCAAAAAATATTTAATTTGTTTTGCTTGAAAGTGTATGGTCGTTCTTTCCCATTTATTAGCTTCCTATATTTATTTTACAATTTTACACGCTATTTAAGATAATTAACCCGGCAGTATTCTTCTATGAACCAAACCAATTCTAAGCAACAATTTTATTTTTTATTTTTTAGCAGAAAGTCTAGCCAACACGTGCGAAGACCCAGGCAATTACTTTATTACCGTCAAACAACCGATGGTCTACTAAGACGTTGTGGTTAGAGGAGTCAAATCAAAGTGATAGCTTGACGTGTTCATTAAACTATGAAATATTGATAGACTTCTGACTAACGGATAGTCTAGTACACCTTTACGTTAACTTACCTTTCATACCAAGACTTTGGTTCCCAAGAGTGACCAGAATTAATTCTAGCTGCAAATGAACATTCAAATAAAGTTTTTCTGGTCTTGAAAAAGACGTGATGTTACCTCCCTCTGACTATTCACCAGCAAGTGTTTCAAGCACCTAATGACGTCATAAGTATGACATCTATTATTGGATGCCTGGCCGTAAACTATTGCACATGCGCAGTCAAGCCTCCCCTAAAAATATCTTTGTCAGTTCAAGTGCGATTTAGAATTATAACGGCATCATCAATCGTTACTTTCTGTCTTTAACCAGCAAATTTCAACCAGTCRTGACATCAGTTGGCTGTGGTTCTTTTTTCCAAGTCGACCGACTTCATTTCCGAGGAGTCTTTTAAGTCAGCCCATTTATTTAATCCTATTAAAACTAGAGTATGTCAAGATCTTTATACAACCACTTAACAAATCTATCAGTGTTRGTACACATTATACAAATTCATACATCGAAAATTTAAATTCWTTTTTTTTTTCAAAGGATCGGAGGCAACATTGTTAAAGCATTAAAAGCATTTTACCGACGTTTTATCCTTCATTCTTTTCAAGATAATACCTCGAATTCTGAATGATTGATACCAATATCCAACATTGGGAAAAGTAAAAGCGATCTTGATACTTAAAATAAGACAAAAAARTTAACATGAAACGCTTTTCAGATATCCTAAACAAATTGCAGAACTTTCTTTTATATTCCATGAAAATTATTAAATGATTCTGAAGGTAAATTGTGATATTTTATAGTTTATGTATGTCACATCATTGTCAAGGTTTTGTTTTATTATTTGATATTCTGCCGTTGCCCAATATTAGTATTCAGTCACGATTACAGCCATCTTAAGCTTCCGCTTATGTATCATCCTATCTTAACCCAATCTACCTTTTAGTTGAASCAAGACAAAGGATTGAGGCTCTTAAAACTCTCGCAAACACCTCGAGTTATCTATTTCTGAYGGCTTGCAAACTCGGTAAATATATTAACGCTTAAAGTGGAATATAAACACACTTAACGTCAAGTGTTAAAATGCTTTCTTGATCTTAAAATGTTATTCTAATTTGCTCACGTTCTACTCGCCCCMAGCCTTTTCACTATCGCGGATATTTCACACCGCGCGAGCCTAGTATGTAGCCGTGTGGCTRTGGCTGGTCACTTATCTCAGACAAGTGATAATGTGTTTCAAAATATTCCTCTTGGGAAWTGAGTGCTTCTTCGTAATTGCTATAAGTCAAAGGTCGTCCGTTCCAATAAAAAACTTTTTGTTCGGTGTTGTTTTGTTTTACTCATGATGATATAGTAGACAATTCAACAATTCAGGCGCTTTGTGTTGTATAAAAGATCCCGCTGTGATCTGTATTGAGTTAGCTGGCGACAGCTAAAATGGCGATCAACAGGGTGCCCAAACATTGGTATTTATTGCTGTCATTTCTACGAATTCCAATTGGACTACAGAAACGATAAGACAAGTGCTTTYGATCACTGAGATCACAGTCTCATCCAGCTTTAACCACCAGGCTGATCCGATATAGTATTAGTACTGTCTTTGTTCTCGTGCAGGCTGTTGTTCCGTTTAACGGTTAAAGCGTGCAAAATCAMCTTTGTTTGGCTAACTCTGTCCTTGACTCGCAAAAGATAGGTGCAATATCTTATTGGATTCTGTGGGGTTTGAAAATAAGGTGAGTTGGCGCTGTCGTAACACTACCTAAGCTACATACATAATTACTTGGAGTTTACCCYAAGAAGGTTTAGATAAGTTATCCATGTTAAAATCTTAGGCACGACTACCACACGCTGCTTTCTCCATTTTACCACCAAGTGAAGACATTTAACTCCCAATATCATTAATCACTATGAAAATCTCTCWWCTTACATCCTGGAGTAGTTTTCTCGAACTTAAAGTGTTYTACRAATTGYTTTTGAATGATGCTGTTTTGGTTGKTTCATGTTGTGAGGCTCATCATMAGTTAYGTGATCCRATCAAGTACTTCACTCTAAACACAATAAGTGTTTTACTTCTCGTGATTACTCTACTTTCATCTCCGGCATTGGGTGGTATATARRTGAATTGATTAATGACAATTCTGTAATCAAACGATAAAAGAGCTTTATTCYYTGAAWAGTATAGCAGTTCGTCAAGTAGCATTTAYTCAATATATATCGACTATCTTTCCTTAAAAACAAAAAGCAAAAAACAACAACAACAAAAAAACAGAAAAGCGAAAATCCAGAGATAACAAAGTATTACACCAGTGACGATTCCTTCATCTTTGCAAACAGTTTGTATCATGCAGTTTGTGTCTAACGAGAATTCAACAATGCCTTCTTCGATTCCCGCTTTGTTATCATTTTTATCGCTGGCTAAGTTCTCATGACATCCTGTAGCGAACTGCGGGTTCAACCTGCAAATCTGTGCCATCCAGAAGCAACTGTTTCCCTTAAATTACAAATCCTCATCAAAAATGTCCTTGCGATTTCTATTTAAACGTCAAAACGGGGTGCATCCCATATAGTAGTGAACTTTAATAGTTTTCTATAGTTATAAGTCAAAGAGGATACTGTCTTTTCAGCGGTGAAGTCATTGATATCGATGTTATAACATTAATAATATGATATTTTTAGATTGAGAATTATATATAACTTCTTTATATCTTATTTATATCTTATATTTACATAATATATTATATTCATTTTTTTACCTTATTTTATGCACGACCTCGCAAGTTTTAGCATTAAATATTATCATGTTTAAATAAAGGTAATATAATCCATCCTATCCTATTGTAATTACAAAAACTGGTATTTTAATCCAACAACCCTTCAGGCTTCAGGCAATTACCAAAGTAAATCCGTCTCTTCACCTAACGACTTTTATTCTTTGCATGTGGTTAACAGTTTCATTTTTGTCTATAGCACTATCTTGTCTTTAGCTAATCTATCAAATTGTTTTATTATTATTATTATTATTATTATTATTATTATTATTATTATTATTCGGCTCTACTTGCTTTTTAAAMAGCCGTCGGTATTGAATCTGTTTGTTTCTAAGTACAGTACTTGAAAGGGTTTGTGTTTGGTAACAGTGTTAGATACTCAATGYTGAATTTTGGATCGACAGTTTCCAGCTTATGACAACTTTTAAAATAGTGCCTCTTGTAACGATCAAGAAATGTCCTCTAGTGCCATCTGAGGTAGGAAATAACCTTTAACCAACGACAGATACAATTGTAATGAAATATGGTCCAACCTAATGCTTCCGTATACCCTGTTATATATAATAACTTTGAACAGAGCATAAAATCGCAGAAATTCCAGAAATGGCCATCTAGGTTGTAGACAAGACTGARGGGTCTGAGTGTTATCGAATGCTATCGAATTTAATCCCGTCCGTYATTGTTTTTTTTCTTTACTAGGGTAGCACTTAATTWGCCAGTGGCTAACAAACCTCTGACCCTCGTTCCATGATCAAATTGAAATTTAAACTAACCACCATTGATGGTACAGTACACCCATCCATTCATTTATTCCATCATYCCATCACCGATTGTACAGTACACCCATCCATTCATTTATTCCATCATCCMATCCCATCCCATCACTGATGGTACAGTACACCCATCCATTCATTTATTCTATCATCCCAATACTGATGGTACAGAACACCCATCCATTTATTTATCCTATCTTCCCATCCCATCCCATCACTGATGGTACAGTACACCCATCCATTCATTTATTCTATCATCCCATCACTGATGGTACAGTACACCCATCCATTCATGTATTCTATCATC